ATTTCTTTATTATATAAAACTATGGTATGCATAATTTTATAACAATACCTTGTGTCATTGGACTGGAACTCAGAAAATCTGAGTTTAATAGCCAGCTCTGCCCCATACTTTCTGTGTGACCTTGGGCAAAACATGATCCATCTGTGCCTGAATTCCAACGTAAATGGGGGTTTCACAAGGCAGTTCTCAATTAACGTACTTTTTCTTTGATAGATGAAAAAAATTATGAGATTGTTCATTTACTGGCATAGTAACACAACTACTAATTTTCTTTACTTTCTGTGCCCTTTCACCATTACATATTGGTAGCTCCTTTGACAAGTGTTTTCTTCTGGTCCTCTCATTACATTGTCATGTCTCTTTTGTTTTTTGTTTTCTGGCAACAGTGAGTCATCCTCACTGCTTTGTGTAATGTCTCTGGAGGAGAGACTTGGCTAGAGCAGTGAACTACATTTAAAATGAAAAGAACACAATATACAATGTTGAAAATTTATCCAGGATGTAACTGCGAACAAGAAAAGTATTATAGCTTTGCCAGAATACCTAGTGACTTGTTCGTTCTTGCGGAGTAGTAGTAAAACCAACTATAGCAGTGGTTCTCAACCCTTTTTTTACCCAGGGACCCCTAAACTTAAATAGACAAACCTGCAGACCTCCAACCAAAGGCAACGTGTGGGGTGGGCCACCTGCCTCCAGAGATTTCTGCCTTCCATTTGGCCCTGCTCCCTGAGGTGCTGATGTAGCCGGGCGGAGAAGTGGTGTGTCTCCTTGGCTAGCTGCTGCCTGCTCATGGAGTCAGCGGCTGTGAAGCAACCCCTTCTGATGGCAGGGGGAGATCTTTCTGCAGTGATTTTTGGTTGCGGCCCACCCCCTACCCAGACAGGCTGGGTGGCCCGCTGAGGTGAGTCAGGGGGTGGAGATGGCACTCCCTCTACAAGCCCCGCCTGGGGCTGAGGCCCAGTTTATTTTGGTGGACCCCCTGAAACCTGCTTGCGGCCCCTCAGGGGGCCCGGACACCTGGTTGAGAACCAGTGGACTATAGCATAGCACAAATCTATACATAGAAACATTTTATTTGATTACATCTCTTTCCTAGCTAAAAACTCTAGATGCTAGTGCTATCTAGTCTACCTAGGAATTTGACTTTAAGATCCAAGTATGAATAGTAGTACTAGGTCCCTGCCGTGTAATTGTTTACCTCTAGATTTAGGTTTAGCTATGGGATTTCACATCTTTCTATCAGGATCAGCCAGTCATGCATAATAAATCTTTGCATTCCTGACATCCTTTTCATAACCCATCCTCTATGAGGATGTTCGCTGCCAAGAATAGGAGGAAATAAGCTATTAGGAAAATGCTTGAAACGCCAAATCAGGATGCTTGAAAAAGAACCTACAGTATCAACCTTTTTGGAAGTTGTTCCCTCTCATCTAGAAGACATAATTTAAAGCAATGGGTACTATGCTCCATTTGAAAGAATTATTCAGTATTCTGTGAAATAAGTAATAGTTTGCTATAAGTAAATAGATTCTATCTTCAGCACAAATAATTGTTTGTGAATATTGTTCTTTTCTCTTTGGCAGTTTTAAAATGCAAAATAAGAATCAATGTAGTATTTCCTACCAAAGTTCTGGTTTGGGATTTGGCTTTTGTGGTGAGAGTTTTAGTAGACAGTTTTTTTTACAAACTTGAAACCTGCCTTAGTTAACTTTTTGACTTTGATTAAGTAGTCTAATGGAATTACATTGTTAAGTTATGGCCTCTTATTCTTCTGAGAAAAGAAAGAAGCAGTAGTTTGCACCTGACCTTTCAGTTTTCCCTAAGGTATCACTGGACTTTCAAGTGACCTTTGAAATTCAGTTAGAGTCTGATGTACCCAGTTGCAAAAATTGAAAGTTAAAAAGGTTCTCTCTGAAGCAAATGTTAGGGAGGTTTTCAAAATGCCTCTCTTCCCCCAGACTATCTGTGACAGACTATCTTCTCTCAATAAGCTAGTTTGTGACCATTCTGTTTCTCACAATCTTAAGGTGAATTTGTGATATACATAAGGAAGTCCTCAATATGGCAAAAGAAGAGTGTTCTGCTCTCCATTATGACCCACTCTTCAAGAAGAGTAGGGAATAGGTTCTGTAATGTTCAAGAAGCCTTCTTCCCTTTTGAATAAAGTACAATTTAAAGTTTAATTCTTTGAGGGACCCCCAATAACTGAATATCCACTTGTCTCATCTAGTTTCTTCCTGTTTGGGTTTACCTTCATGTGTCCTTGTGTGTCAGAAACACAGCATACTAGGGCTTCTGAGGAGCAAAAGTCAGGAACAGGAGGGGAACAGATTATCCAAAATGGCTAGAATTCTTGTTCATCGCTGCAAATATTACTGTTGTAACTCACAGTTCAATCCTTCTCAGCAAACTGATGGTTTCAAGCATCTTCTGTTAATCAAATGTAAAAAACGGAAGACTATAGAAAACGCATTCGTCCCATATTTATAAAGAAAAATAGTTCACTGTAAAATGATTTTGTTACTCTCGAATTGGGGGTTGGTTACTTTTTGTTTTGTTTTTTTTCAGTAATTGTGACTGCTTCTTGCTGACGTAGGCTAATGTAGAGTTCTTTTAACTGCTAATACGTTAGAGTTTTGTTTGAGGTACTTCTTGACATGTTTGCATGACATAACAATTGCAGTTAATTCATACCTCCCCAATAATCTCATTTCAAACTGAGTCGTTGCCAAATGTTCTTGAGAAAGGCCTAGGGAAAAAATGATCAATTTGAAAAATTGTTCCCTTATGTACGGGAAAACGAGTAGATAAATGGGAATGTTAACAGAATATACTTTAAAAATATGATATATAAGTTATTAGGCATTGAGATTTCATTTCTATTAAATATAGGGAACAAATTATTTCTGCTTAAATGCTCTCTTAGAAGTGTCGGTTTTGTTAGCTAGGGTGAGTGGTCATTAGGTGTTAATAGGGCTAAGCCCACCAATAATGGTATAGCTGTAAAATATGGTTGTACTGCGGAATGCACTATTACCTGCTGCCACTGGGGAGCTTCTGGTGGGGCTGGAGCTGCTCCAGCCTCTGTAGCTGTAGCGGGAAGAAGGACAGAGCAGAAAATGCTGGCTTTGGTTGAGCTGGCCCCAAAGAAGCAGAGTACAGAGGCATATGAGCAAGCTCCCTGCAGCCTCCAGCTCTTGGAGTCCCTGTAGTGCTTAGGCTCCAGGCAGCAGGCTGCTTCTGTTTCTGCTTTTCTTGTCCCAGTAACAAGTAGGGATGATTTCTGGGTTATGGGAATAAGGGGGCTCCTCAGTATGGTGGTGGTGGGCCATGGATTGAAGAGGAAGAATAGTCTGAGCCCCTCAAACTATTGCCCAATTTCTCTTCTCCCGTTCACCTCCGGAATCATTGAGCATGATGTCTGCAACTGCTCTCTGGTGTTTTTCATCCAGTTCTGTTCTTGACTATTTCCAATCTGGTGTCCATCATCTATCTGCCTGGGAAATAACTGTAATGATCTGTACCTGGTCAAATCTGTAGGCCTATGCTTCATCCTTATCCTACTTGACCTCTTGGTGACTTTTGACACCACTGACCACTCCCAGCTTCTTGAAATTTTGCACTTCACTGGCTTTTGTAACTCTGTCCTCCCATGGTTCTTCTATCTCTCTGATCATTCTTTTACTGACTCATTAGGTGGGTCATCCTCCTCCCCCTACCCCTTTCTATGGGTTGCCCTCCAGACTTTGTCCTTTGTGCCCCCTCCACTTCTCTCTTTACACCCTCTCTCTAGGTGCTCTTATCCACAAGCACGGTTTTAACTACCAACTTTATGCTGATGACTCACCAATCTGCCTCTCTACTGATGAGCTATTTTCTTTAATCCAGTCTAGTATGTTGGCCTGTCTTTCTGACATCTCTTTGTAAATGTCCAATCATTATCTTCAGCTCAGCATGGCCAGAACTGTGCTCTTGACCTATCCCCCCAAGTTCTCCTCACATCCCCCTTTGGATGGAAAATACCACCAAGGTTGCAGTAGCCAAGACTTGAAATGATGAGGTTGCGGAAGAGAGTTTTGGCTGTGTGGACAGAGAGCCAAGGCCAGACTTTAAAATATGTTGTGTAAGAAAAAACTGTAAGATTTAGCAATGGCCTGAATATGTGGGTCCAGTGAGAGGGTCGAATCAAAGATGATACCCACAGTTGCAGGCCTGGGTGACTGGGAGAATGATGGTGGTGTGCACAGTGATGGAGAGGGGTGGGCTCCTTTTCCTACGCCTTTCCTCCACATCTCTACTTCCAGTTGAAGAAATTACAATCCATGTAACTAACTAAGCTGGGCCAGTTCTTCAGCAGGTTCATTTCCAAAGTTCTTCACCCTACTCTCTGTTTGTGCCGTTAGATTGAAAGCCCTTCAGGGCAGGAATTGGCTCTTTTCTGTGTTTGTACAGAACAGTGGGGGTTGGGGCCTTTGGCAATACCATAACATTAATATTTAATAATAACAAGCCTGGAGTGGAACCTGTTGAAGGCAAAGGGATTTTTACCTGATTAAGGAGTTGGGAACAGGCCCTTCTCTTGTAGGTTAAAATGGTGGGACTAGCCAGTGCCTGAAGCCAACTTCATTGGACAGTGAACAGCAAATCCACCATCTGAAATGTAAAATTCATTTCATGAGGACATCTTTCCCAAACCTACAATTTATCTAAATCTAGATAATTATACATTTATAATGGACCAATTTAAACACTGTATCAGGCAGATCATGTTTGCTCTCTCTCTCACACACGCACACTCATATATACACACACACAAGCGCGCACACACATATGTATATATAAAAACCTAAAGTTGACCATGAAACACTTTTGTGGGCCTCTATTGCAAGCAGAAGTAATGCAACCAAATTACTATTAAAACATTTGGTCTAAAGAGTGCCAGTGAGTATAAAAGAAACTATATTGGTCTATTAATTATTTGTTGGGTTTTTTTATTTTAGGATGAACGTGAGGCCAGAGAGAATGTGAAGAGAGAACAGGATGAAGCTTACCGCATTTCACTAGAAGCTGATAGAGCAAAGGTGTGTGCATAGCGAAGAACATCCCCTGCTGTGTTGGGAAGTAATTTCATGAATGCCAGGATATGCATGTCCTCACAATGGATGAAATTCACCTAGTTTTGGAGGACCACACCACTTCGGCCCCATGTAGGGTTCTGCTTCCCTACACACCAAGGAAAACTCCTTACCAGCCACACAGGCCAGCATACAAAGCCACATCGTGGGCAAGCCACGAGAGAGGCCACAGATTTATATTTACACAGATCCAGTGGCCCCAGTAGCCCACACAACTGACATGTAGGGTCTGTGGTAACAATTTCAACCAAGAGACTGGAATAGTGGCCATGGGGGCTGTGAGGCAGGCCTGACCTAGGTTTAGGGGTGGGGGGTCACCTTGCCTTGCCATCTGTTCTGCATTCCCCCCTCACAGAGCATGAATACTCAGAGTGAGTTTCACCTTGTGTGACTAGGAATTCTTCATGGGTAGTTGCTTCTGCTTAGCACAGTAGTTTATGTAGCTGAAGTTTGGAAATTCTCAGAATCTGTGTTGCTCATTAAGCACATGTTTTATGTGGTGCACTGATGAGGACGTACACAGTGTTCAGATGACTATTTTCATTATTATGCTTTATATGTGGAATATTGAGGGCTGGGGGGTTCACGTGTCTTTATCATATCATTTAAATATGGCACATGCACATACTGGCCAAAAAGCTTGACCTGTGTAACAATGCTCCCTTTGGCCTTATGACTAGGATCCACTGCAGGGTTAATTTAATATGTGATATGCTCTCTGTCAAGGAGCCTCTATCCTGTCCTCGCAGGGAGATGACTTGATCTAAGAGGTCTTTTCCATCTATAACCACTGGATCTATATACAAAGATACTGATTTTGAATGAAAACATGTGTAGTTATTTGCAAATTTTGTAGTATAAACTATTGTTCCTTTATGTTCCTATTCTTGCTCCAGAATTAAGGGGCTTGTGTTCTCCCCATCTGCATGCAGAGGGGAGCATGCACCCACCAAAGAGCAGGAGGGGAGGATACTACCTTTGTGGCATACTTCCCATTCAGCCCCAATCTTTCAGAAGCTCCTCCCAGTCTGAGGCTGTATTAATTTGCACTGTTTCCCCTTCTGTTTGTGGAACCCGGTGTGACAGCTGCAGTCTGCCCCTTGTCTCTGGCAGGTCTGCACAAACCACTCCTACCCCAGCAGAAAAAGAAACATTTGTGGAGTTTCCTCTCCTTCATGTGGGTAATGCAGTTTTTTTGCACAGGGCTATGGGCTGTGCTGCTTAGCTATCAGTTGAATGTAAATGTGATTGTTTCTTTCTCTTTAATAGAGGGAAGCACAAGAGAGAGAACAAGCAGAGCAGTTTCGTTTGGAGCAGATTCGAAAAGAACAGGAGGAAGAACGTGAGGTGGGACACTTTGCCTTTTGGGGCAATTTCTAGAGTTTGTGTTGGTGGGATACCTGGCAACCATCACTCAGAGCTGACTAAGGTTTTTTTTGTGTGGGCATTCAATACCTATGACATACTTTAATCTAACTTGCATAACATTTATAAATCGTTTTACTTTATTGGGTAAAACATGATTTTATGGCTTTTCCACTAACTATTCTGTCTCATATTATCTGCTGGTCTTCCACTATCCTTAGGCAAGTCTGAAGCGCTCTCTGCCTCAGTTTCCTTGTTTGTTACATGGATAACCTACTTCACCAGGGTCTCATGAGGTCTAACGCCTCATCTTTGATAAAGTGGGTTTTGTATGCATTCAGGTCTATTAGCACTTTGATCACTGCACTAAATAATCATCACACCCCTAGTGGATGGGAGATTAATATTAGTGCCCTCATTTTACACAGGAGGGGTATTGACTGAGTCTGAGAAATTAAGTGACTTGACAATAGAATCATAGGAGTGTAGGACTGGAAGGGACTTCAGTAGGTCACCTACTCCAGTCCCCTGCACTCAAGGCAGGACTAAGCAATAACTAGACTATCCCTGACAGGTTTGTCCAACCTGTTCTTAAAAAGCTCCAGTGACGGAGATTCCACAACCTCCGTAGGCAATTTGTCCCAGTGCCTAACTACCCTCGCAGGAAGTTTTTCCTAATCTTCAATTTAAACCTCCCTTGCTGCAGTTTAAGTGACAGAGGGTGTCAGCATTAGAGCTGGGATTAGAATGCAAGAGTGCCGTACTCTCAATCTTTGCGTTATGAACTGGGCCATTCTACTGAGCGAGACCAAGACAGTCCGTTGGTTGACTGGCAGGACCAGTTTAGCTTCATGCAGCTGGGAGGAAGCTTATGATAGTTTTGGCTCTACCCACTGCAGACCAAATGACATCATTCTATACATATTGGGCCACAGTACCGCCCCCCCCAATTTAGAGGGATCTTTGGCAGTTGGTTTCATGGATCCAAGGGCCAACTATGAGTAGCTGCAAGGAAGACAATGATTAATCTGTGAGCTTTAGGAAAAATCACAGTGACAGTCTCTCAGCCCGAATGATCAGTTAACATCGGTTCATATAATAAATATTTTATACACCTATATTTTATTATTTTATATGGAAAAGAACATACTTTTTAAATTATAAAACATGAGATTAGCATTAACATTTTGAGTTACTTAAATTAGGGGTCCTGTGTCTGAAGCTCCAAACATTGTCTTTGCAGATACCAGTTTTTAAAACACAGTATCTCAGTTGCTTTTCATTTTATGGATTGATTTCTTTACTTTTGTTTTCAAATATCTTGGAGCCTAGTTAGCACTATGAACAAATGGTTTGCATAATTTAATTTGGGGAATGAAGCAGTTTTTTAATTTTAAGATAAAAGTAACCAAAAGCCCACAAAAATCCCAATTATTTTCTTTGTACTAGTAATACAGTTTTTAAATGGTCAATCAAATTTATCCTGAAACTTCTTTTAAAGAAAAGAAACCTTTAGTCTCTGACTGAGACCTTAAATGCCAAAGTCTGTCCCCCCAAAACCAAGGTATCAATGAAAATTCAAAAACCCTGTCACAATAATGATGCAAACTCTCTATTGTGATTAAACATATTGGCTGCAGGGTAAACTAATGCGGTTAAACATTGGAAAAATTAGGAGATAAAAAGAGCAAAGCAAGATGAGTGAATTTAACTCTTTAGAATGTTTCTCAAAGTACACTGTTAATGAGAAATATACAAGTGTTAAGCCACAAAGCCACAATTTTGTTTACAAATCCAAGTCAATGAAGTATGGCACTAGTTCTTGCTGAACCAATAACTAATCTCTTGTTACACCCGTTCAGGTACAAGGGCTACAAAAGATGGCAAATCAACCCTGTAAGAGGCATTGATGTGTACCTGAGCACAGCCCCAAACTGGCCCCTCTCCAGGAAGCATCTCATGGGAACAATTTGTTAATTTGTGAGATATGAGCCATCATACATGTGTGCTCCATTCCCTTAGTCTGAGTGGATGGATAAACCACTCCCTGTGGAAACTACTGTTCCCCAAATGCAACTGTGGTGTGAAAAGTTTGAAAGTACAGGTGTCCAGCAGAGATTCTGCAGGATCTAATCCAGGATGCCCAACTTTCCTGCTGCATATGGTCAGACTCAGCCATGTAATTTTTTGTCAGACTGTGCCACAAGTGTCCTGTTTAACAGTTCCCCAGTAAAAGCTTGTTTTGGGGGTTCTATGGGGTTTCACAACTAGTCCATTGTCCCAATCTGTTTTGTCCAAAGTGTGATCTCCCAGTACAGTATATTCCCGCATGCTAAAACAGTCATAGTGTAATGTGTATGAAGTTCTGCACACAGCAGTAATTTTTTCTTCTTCTTTATCTCCAGGCAAATGTATAACATAGTGATTAAACAAAGGGATAGTGCACATCCACTTCTCCCCCCCCCCAAAAAAAAACCCCAAAAACTGTACATGAGACTATCAGTCCTTAGAGGAGTTCTGGTGAAATAAACAGAATCATAGCTCAGCTAGCTATGTCATCAACCGCTGTGTGTGTTGTTAAAACAGCTATCATGTAGTACCCAAAATAAAACTGCATATCAGTGGGTGATGAAATGCTCCCTATGTTTATCCATTCTCCGAGGGGTGAGATGGGGCTAAGTCAGTTAATGATTGAAAAGGGCTTTGAGATCCTTGGATGAGACTTTTAAATTAAAAGTGCTATAGATGTGCAAACTTAAAGGGTGAAATCCTGGCCCCATTGAAAACGATGGGCATTTTGCCATTGATTTCAGTGGGGCCTAGAATTTCACCCATCATTAATAAGAGCCTTATTAATAATAAGCACTGATATATCTGCATCCTCGTGGGGTGTGTTTGTTTGCTAATGCTATATAAATATATAAACCAACATACTTTCCCCTCTTTTTCTATTCATTAATATAATTTTCTTGATCTGACTCTTTTCTTTTTGCAGACATTTGAAATCTGGCATTATGTTTTTATTTCATTTTCCAGATGATTAAAGTCTGTGGAACTGGTGAAATCCTGTTTAAATTGCATCCTTTCCTTTCTTTTTCTTTGTTGTTGTTTTTTGTTTTCTCCCCTGAAGTGGCTTTTTAAATGTATATTTGGTGACATTTCAGTACTATGTTTTTTTCTGATATATGGAAACATTGCATTATACAACTGCAAAAAAATAAAGTAGGTAACCAACATAATTTTTTATTCTCGAAGATAAACTTGACAAGCAAATTGTGTCAACAATTCACCTTGCACACATCTTTCTGACCAAGATAAATCATCTAAGAACCTGACATATTTAAGTGCTTCCAGAACTTTTAAACCATGTTATATTGTGAATAGTTCATTTAGTCAGAACTACAGTATTAAGTGTTTTGCATAAGATGCTCCACCTTTTCTCTACACTGTACTGTCGGATTTGCTGTCCTCTTACCTCCTGTTGCTACCAAAAGTCAATAATGGGAGTTAAGGTAAGAGACCATTAGAGGGACACTAGAGGAGTCTTGCAGAAAATAGGAATATGAGAATTCTGTTGTGAATAATTAACAAGTTGCATTCTGTAAAGTTATTAGCAATTGAACTCACGTAATTGAACTCACGTAAACTAGTACTGTAGCAGTAACAGCAATAAGACTGTTGAGAAATTGCCTTGCTTATCTTCTAATTCATGTAATTAGTGTGTTTTCTTTCTCTCTTTAAAAGTAATTGTGAACACATAGAAACAATAATTCCCGTCCGCTGCATTGTGCTTACTACCCTGGCCTTTTGGAAACTGTTTTCTCACGTAAAAGCAGAAAAACCAGTCCACGATTAAAACTATACCTGAGCTTCCTTGTTTTAATACAAACTGTAATAATGAAAAGAATAAGATCTGTTTGCTCAGCCAAACAAAAGAGATTTTAACAATGCTGTTTACTGACACTCCCTATGTTCAAGTGTACGGATTACCTATATTCCGTTGTTCTGTAACAGTGTTTGCTTACATAAGGGGCTTTATGTTCAGTTCCATATATTTGAAATCTGGCTATTGATCTATTCACAGACTGAACATCCTTTTTTATCAACAAAATTCAGCTTGCTTATTCAGATCCAAGCGTTGCTAATGTTATCCAGCTCATAATTGTTTTCTAACTTGGTTCACTGGGGTGGAATATCCATTGTATATTGTCATTTTATGTTGAAGCCTTGGAGACTGGTTACTTTGGGGAGCTAGGTATTCTTTGCACAAAGAAAAGAGCTCTAATGAGCTACTGTTGTTTATTTTTCTGTAATATAATTGATTGAGTTCAGTAAATAATGTAGCATCTGTTATTATACTATGTGAGGAAATGTCAAAACAGAAAGAAAGTAAGCAGGTGGTTGAGGAAGGAGAGAAAGGAAATAGAATCTATTTAATTATATTATTTAAAATATAATCTCATAGCAGACACATAAAAATTAACTTGAGCCACAAGAACATTAAAAAACTCTTTTGGATTCACACAGAAAATGCCTGGGATTGCAAAAGCCCATATGAAGCTCTATGTATAATCATTTATATTGAGATATAATGTTTCCCAGTGTCTGCATGTAAGAAGCAGATTGTTTAAATGATCTTGTACCCTTGCCTCTGCCCCATTCTGTCCTTTTCATGTAATTCATTTCTCCCTCTAAATGACTATGGGGGAGATTTTCAAAGACACAAATAGCAATTGAGTGCCTCACTCCCATCGAAAATCAATGGGAACTAGGCACTTTAACTGACTTTGAAAAATCTTTCTCTTTTGTGCCTTTTTTCATATCACCCAATTGTTGTTAAGATTTTTACCAACAGGTGCCTGAATGTAGGCTCCTTTAGAACATCAGGCCAAACTAATTTAGCAGGCATCTTCTTTTGAAAATCCTGGCCACAGAATTCATGTTATACTAGCTCCTGGAAGCCCTGGTTAGGATCGTGGCCGAGAACAAATTCACAGGTAGCTATAATTCCTGCCCCAAAGAGCTACCATCTAAGGAGACAAGCAACATACAGAGCGTGAATAAGAAGACAATCAAATATATATATGTTTTAGATACATGTTTACATTCGCTTACTTTTATAAGAACATAAGAACGGCCATACTGGGTCAGACAAAAGGTCCATCTAGCCCAATATCCTGTCTTCCAACAGTGGCCAATGCCAGGTGCCCCAAAGGGAATGAACACAACAGGTAATCATCAGGTGATCCATCCCCTGTCGCCCATTCCCAGATTCTGGCAAACAGAGGCTAGGGACACCATCCCTGTCCATCCTGGCTAATCACCATTGATGGACCTATCCTCCATGAATTTATCTAGTTCTTTTTTGAACCCTGTTATAGTTTTGGCCTTCACAACATCCTCTGGCAAGGAGTTCCACAGGTTGACTGTGCGTTGTGTGAAAAAATACTTCCTTTTGTTTGTTTTAAACCTGCTGCCTATTAATTTCATTTAAGTTCTTGTGTTATGAAAAAGAGTAAATAACACTTCTTTATTTACTTTCTCCACACTGGTCATGATTTTATAGACCTCTATCATATTCCTCCCCCCTTAGTTTTCTTATTTCCAAGCTGAAAAGTCCCAGTCTTATTAATCTGTCCTCATATGGCAGATGCGCCATACTCCTAATCATTTTTGTTGCCCTTTTCTGAACCTTTTCCAATTCTGGTATATGTTTTTTGGGATGGGGTGACCACATCTGCATGCAGTATTCAAGATGTGGGCATACCATGGATTTATATAGAGGCAATATGATATCTTCTGTCTTATTACCTATCCCTTTCTTAATGATGCCCAACATTCTGTTCGCTTTTTTGACTGTCGCTGCACATTGAGTGGATGTTTTCAGAGAACTAACCATAATGACTCCAAAATCATTCTTGAGTGGTTAAAAACTAATTTAGACCCCATAATTTTATATGTATAGTGGGATTATGTTTTCCAATGTGCATTACTTTGCATTTATCAACACTGAATTTCATCTGCCATTTTGTTGCCCAGTCACTCAGTTTTGAGAGATACTTTTGTAGCTCTTCATAGTCTGCCTGGGACTTAACTATCTTGAGTAGTTTTGTATCATCTGCAAATTTTGCCACCTCACTGTTTACTCATTTTTCCAGATCATTTATGAATATGTGGAATAGGACTTGGACCCAGTACCGACCGCTGGGGGACACCACTGTTTACCTCTCTCCATTCTGAAAACTGACCATTTATTCCTACCCTTTGTTTCCTATCTTTCAACCAGTTACCAGTCCATGAGAGGACCTTCCCTCTTATCCCATGACTGCTTACTTTGCTTAATAGCCTTTGGTGAAGGACCTTGTCAAAGGCTTTCTGAAAATATAAATACACTATATCCACTGGATTTCCCCCTGTCCACATGCTTCTTGACCCCCTCAAAGAATTCTAGTAGATTGGTGAGCCATGATTTCCCTTGACAAAAACCATGTTGACTATTCCCCAACAAATTATGTTTATCTATGTGTCTGACAATTTTGTTCTTTACTATAGTTTCAACCAGTTTGCCTGGTACTGAAGGCCTGTAATTGGCGGGGTCACCTCTGGTGCCCTTTTTAAAAATTGGACTCACATTAGCTATCCTCCTGTCATTTGGTACAGAATAATTTAAATGATAGGCTACGGACTACAGTTAGTAGTTCTGCAATTTCACATCTGAGTTCTTCAGAACTCTTGGGTGAATACTATCTGGTCCTGGTGACTTATTAGGGTTAGTTTATCAATTTGTTCCAAAACCTCCTCTAATGACACCTCAATCTGGGACAGTTCCTCAGATTTGTCACCTAAACAGAATGGCTGAGGTTTGGGAATCTTCCCTCACCGTGAAGACCGATACGAAGAATTCATTGAGTTTCTCCGCAATGGTCTTATCGTCCTTGAGTGTTCCTTTAGCATCTCGATCGTCCAGTGGCTCCACTGGGTGTTTAGCAGGCTTCCTGCTTCTGATGTACAAAAAAAATTTTGCTATTACTTTTTATTATTTATATTCACATAAATAAAGACTTTCCCACTCTGCCCTCAGCCGAGCCATTAAATATTGGCTGATTTCTTGTAGCTGTTGCAGCAAAAATGAATCCTGGTGCTTGGAGCCGTTTCTCTGTGGATAGCATTTTTCCTTTCCTCCTTTAATCTCTCCTTAAAATCAACTTTTTTGCCTTGCCTTTTTCCCTGCTGATCCTCCTATGACTATGGCTGTTCCCACTTTCGTGCCTCGTATACGCTAAATAACCTGTATGCCTTAAATATATAGAAGAAATATCCCAATCAGAGCATTTTAGTTACAAGTATTTTTAGTAAATCTAACAGGTAGGGGGTTTGTTTTCATTGTGAATTGCTGTCAGGGGGAGGAAGAGATTCCTTAGTTTCAAATGGTCAGTTATTTTGCTGAGAGGAGTACAGTTTGATAATAAAAAGTATTTACAAAAATAAATGTATTTAATGCCTTTAATTTGTACTCTTTAAGAAAGCAGTTGAGCACTTGACAGTTATTCCCTCAATCAAAAATGTTGATGCTTTTTTGCCAAACAATTAAATTCCTATCTCCATCATGCAGTAAACTGTAGGTTTAATTATGTGTTATAAAGGAAGGGTTTATTTTAATTAATGTGGGCTGTTATTAAGAAATGCACAAAAATGGTTTTGTCATTGAGACAAAAAGCACAGCTAAAGTTCTGGAGCCCTGTGATTCCTCTCGGAGTTCTAGCATGAAAAATGGAAAAACTCCCATGCCTAAGTAGTTAAATTGAAGCTAAATGGTCCTTTTTCTTTCCTCAGGCTATCAGGCTATCTCTAGAGCAGTCTTTGCCTCCAGAGCCAAAAAAAGAGAGCACCGAGTCAGTCAGCAAACTGCGTATCCGAACACCCAGCGGAGAGTTCTTTGAGCGGCGTTTCCTGGCCAGCAGTAAGCTGCAGGTTGTCTTTGATTTTGTAGCTTCCAAGGGATACCCTTGGGAAGAGTTCAAGCTGCTGGGCACCTTTCCAAGGAGAGATGTAAGTAAACGTATCTTCTGTGAATAAATTCTCCTTATTCCTAGTTGTATGTATCAAGATGGCATGTATGTTACAGCATGAAAGATGAAGGTTGACTTGGTATGTTGTAATATGGTCAAGCTCCATGACACAAAGCAAGTCAGGAGCTAACATGAGAGCCCTAGGACAGAGGTTCTCAAACTGTTGTCCGTGGACCACCAGTGGTCCACGAGCTTCATTCAGGTGGTCCGTGGATAGTTCTCTCAAAGGTGCGCGCCTGGGCGGCTGCACACGAGAGAATGAAGGCTACCCACCTACTTAGTGGAGACGCGCAGGCCTGGTGCCTGGACCGTGGAGAAGACGTATGTGTAAGGTGAGGTGGTGACCTTGGGGGGAATGGGGGTAGGTGGGAGGGGGCAGTGGGGAAAGAAGAGGGCGTGGGGGGAATTTGGGATGTGCAGGGCTGCAGCAGCCAGAGAAAGAGGTGACTTTCCCCAGCTCCAGAGCTGCGTCTGCCAGGGAGAGACGGTCCTCCTTCCCAGCCTCGGCTCTGTAGCTGCTGTGGTGGGGGAGAGACCCCCTCCTTCCAGCCCCAGCCTGGGGGCTGCTGTGGCAGGGGAGAGAAATTATTATTAAGGGTTTTTTTATATAGCGCTTTTATCCAACTATTACAATAGTTAACTAATGGTACAAACATTTGGAAAGATTATTAAGTGGTCTGCCAAGACCCACAGCAATTTTCAAGTGGTCTGTGGACAAAAAAAATTTGAGAACCACTGCCCTAGGGCATGTTGTTATATAAAAAGCTACATCAGAAAATCCAGACTTTCAGTGGCAGAGGGGGAAAAAATTCTAAAGCAAAAAATGTAAAGGGTCAAATTCAGTGAGGACTGGACACACACATCCAAAAACAGAGTTTGACCCAAAAACTTTATTCCCTGTTTTAAAAGAAAGTAGAACCCCTCTTGCTTAGCATAACACTCCCAAAGTTCATTTGGTGAGCATCATTTCATTTTCTCTCCTGGACATGAAGTTCTGTTGTTCAGATTGGTGTTCTGATCTTCCTGTTGATTCCATTTTGCTTGATGTAATTTGTGACATGAGTAGAAAGGGCTCTGTCAAACCATAAATGAGTTATCGGGTACTTTAGCACACTTAACCCTGATAAACTATTCATCTATCCCTTATGTAATCCATAAAATCAAGTAAATAACCACTTTTAATTCTTACCTAAAACTTCTTTTGAAGTGTATACAAAAAATAATGACGTCCTATCGGGTGTGAATGACCATCATTATAGGCTGTACTAACTCCCTGATCCTCAAGTTTGCTAATTTATCTGTGGTTAAACCTGCCATGGATTCTGGTCACTAGAGCTTTTCTTATACTAGATTTCTTTGAAGACACTCTTTTTGGTGTTGTTGTTGTCTGCTGAATTATAACTTAGATTTTGTTTATAGCATAGTTGTTACTACTAAAATAAAAGGCAATGGGCCCAATCTGTGTGTCCAGCTGAGTTGTGATCAGTGCAAAACCTGACGTCGGGAAAGGGTGCAAAGACAGCAGTACAAGTTAAGTCAGTCACTGAGCGGTGGGGCTTGGCAGCATACCAGCCACACACCCCATATGCTGTGGTGGTGGGGAGTTTAGCTTTGTAACCTGGAGATTGCGCATGCCGGAGAAATCCTCAGATGGCTGGTTAAGCTGGCTTTATGTCCTTTTTGCACCATAAGAGCCCACTATGTGGGACGCTTTGCTCGGTCCACCCTTGTCTCCTCCTCCGCAGGAAGTTCACTCAGGATAGGACTCAACTCAGAGTGTTTGCAGTGCCATTTTGTAACAGCCATCTGTTGCTTCAGGATTAGTATCTAGTTTGTAAAAGTCATCTTAAATTACAACCCGCCCAAAAAGCTCTAGAAATATTTGTACTTAACAAACATATCCTCTTGAGAGCAGGCTTGATTTGTGATGATTGTGACATAACTGTGAATGGGATTGTAGATATCTGATGGCTTGTCTTGAGCCATGTCTCAAAGGCAGAAAAACTGATTTCTAATCACAGAATCTGTCCAAAGAGGCAGTTAAGAGACGTTGAAAAAGACACAGATGCACTTTTATTTTGAAGGTACTTATAACTGTTGGAGAGGAGAAACAGATTTGAAGTGGGAGGCGGAGAAATGCCTTCCAATCCCATAAATCTCAGCATTAACCCTACGCATGTTAGGAAGCCAGCAAACCACAACCAGTGCACAAACTATCAATGTAATATCAATTCCATAATGGGATGCACCCAAGAATACCATTCAAACACCCTGAAATCAATGGGGAGAAAGAATGTTAAGGGGCAAACCAGTTAGAGGACTTGGCAGTGTTCAGATCCTTCCCCTCCACTTCTTCTCAAGAAGCCAGGCAGTGAGCTAAATCCTGCTCCCCTTTCCCATCAGGCCCCACTACAGTATGAGCTCCAAGGAAGCAAGGATTTAATTACGTGACACACAGACTAGCCTCCCACCACACCCCACAAAAACCCACCACAATGGCATCTTCAATATGAGACTCCCTAGCGCTTCAGAACAGCAGCCTCATTAAATGGAGAAAAGTACTCTTTCCAGTACGGACAATGTTAAGCAGTTTACCTAGCCCCAGGTAATGGCTTTTAAATACAAAGTAGGGATCCTGTTAGCTTAGCAGTGCTCTCATTAGAAGAGTATAGACATCAGTGACCGTATTGTACCTTTCAAAATAAGGATAAAATTGATAGATCTCTTTGGATTTTTCAGGATGAAAAGTGCTACATAAAGTAAGAGAGGAGGAGGATAGATAAAGGACCTGGGAGTCAGGAAACTTGGCTTCTATTCCCATTCTGCTACTGATTCAGTTGTGTGACCTTTGGCAAGTCACTTAACTTCTCTCTGTCTCAGTTTTCTTTCTATTAAATGGAAATACTGATATATACCCACCTTCATAAAGCACTTTAAGATCTTCAGATGGAAAGCATTACATAAACCTTAAGCCCAAGATTTGCAAAACAGGGTGCCTTCATTTAGGCTCCTAAATCATATTTAGGCAACTAAATAAATAGCCTAATTTTCAAAGTTGCTGAGCACCTGTGGCAACCTTTGGAATCAGTGAGTCAGCTTTAGGCTTTAGATACTATGGTGAGAGTTGCTATATAAGTATCAAGATGAAGAAAAGTTGGAAAAATTTAGCCAAAGAATTTATTATTATTTCACATTGGTAGTGGATTAATGAGTGATCATCTGAAAACTAAGTACGTTGATGAGTTAGGATCTTGGGTAAAACCCACGTAAGTAAAAACATGTTAAGTAAAAAGAGTAAAGCGAATGACGCAATGAATATAAGGCCTTATCTACGCTGCCATTTTACAGCGCTGCAACTTTCTCACTCAAGGGGTGTGAAAAAACACCCCCCTGAGCGCTGCGAGTTTCACCGCTTTAAAGTGGCGGTGTAGACAGTGGGGGTGGGTTTTTTATAGTGCTGCTGGTGCCACGACTACACAGCCATGTTAAAGCGCTTTAACGTTGCTAGTGAAGACATGCCCTAAGTAAATTCAAGAGGTGGCTAGATTTGTGTGCCAAAAGAATGGTAGAGGAGATTAAATGGCAGTAGGAAGGTTGGTTTAAAATAAACTTAAAGGAAGCAGACATGTTAGGTTGGATGGCCTTTTGCTGTTTTTATTAGTAAATAAACTGATTTATATCAGTCTCATGTGTAACGATGTATGGTAAAAATATTTCAGATTATGACTTTAGAAGAGCGACCTAATTCCAATATTGAAGGCATTTGGGTATTGTAAATAATAAACTCCAGGGTATCCTATACACAGTAGGAGGGCATGCAATGCTGAGTTACAGGATACACTCCTAAAATCGTGCGTGTATATTGGATCAGCCTCTAACTCCTTGCTATGTAATACATTTCTTGTCAAGTTGTAGTTTGCATATAGGGCTGTGATTCTGAAGGACCTGTTTTGTGTGGGGGGATGGGGCTGGGAGTGAGAGGCAGCAGGAGGGGGTAAAATTCTCCACCTTTTAATGTGAAAGTGTTGTACATCTGAACACTAGTAAAACACAACAACATTATTTATGAAGTTGGATAGGTATGAACTGTACAGGGCACAGATCATTCACCGTGGTGTGAAATTTTGCCTAGGACCAGATATTAGACAATTAATTGTATTAAATTATTACATTGTACCTTTAGTCAGTCTGAATTAATGACCTCCAAAATAAAGCACTTGCTATTTAAGTAATTGCTGTCATGATAGAAAGTAGATAAACAATTGGGGACAAGCAACCATCACTAATTCGACTGCTTTCCCTATCCTTTGACACACAATGTGGCTATCCGGTTTGCCTACCCCTCTGGCTTGTTCTGATCTGGCCATTAATGCCATAGAAAATGGGAGCAGGTTTTCATGGTACTTTGAAACTATACCCTTAGTGTCCCCACTTGGAAAAAGGAATTAATGACACTGACCTGCTTTGTAAAGCGCTTTGAGATGTACTGATGAAAAGCGTGGTGCTGGCAGCGGCATTATTTATACTGGTGGAAGGATGAACGAGGTTTTCACTTGGGACATTTTTTTTAATGTAAATTTTCAAAAAAAGCCCTTTTAATCCTTATCTCTTACAACCCTGTACCATGAATTTCAAATTGGATCTGCTTTGAAATATACGGGGTGTGAGTTGTATCATGAGCTGAAGTTTAAGTAGCTCTGTATGCTTTGGGTATCCATCCCAACAGGGTACCTCAAGCTATGGGTATATAGTGTTCTCAGTAGTGACCCCTATAACTATTACGTTGTCAATACCTCTAAGCCTGAGCCTAGCCATGTTTAAAATGCAAATTCTGGAGTCACTGGCATTTAGCCTACTGGCTATATGGTTTTCCCTGTCACAATACACTAGATAGCGAGTGCATGGTCATAGTATATTGCTCCCTAAATTTGGGGAATGCTATTTTTCTCTTAATCTGAACCATGTAAAGTGCACCCATAT